CTGTTATACATTTTCCATTAAAATTAATAAACAAATTAATAAATAATGATGACAATGATAATAATGATGATGTTATGTTAATCCATTCACATTTTTTTTTTATCAATATATAAAAATATGTTTGGATTAATTATTTAGATATACTTAATAATTAACAGATAATATTTAATGATTAATAATTCAAATTATTTATAATTTAATTTTCAAAATATCTAATTTTTGTTTAATTATAGTCAATAATTGATAAGTATTTTTTGAAATGCTAAAACAAAGGAAGATTTTATTGAATAACACAAGTGTTTCTTTGACTCGTGTACATTTCTTGCACAACTCTGGAAGAGCTTAGAAAAACAGAAAATCAACAGAATGGAACGTAAAAGTCCAAAACGGCAGGCGCATGTTGGAAATTTTAACATGTGCTACCGCTAATTTTTATTTGTTTATAAAAACGTGTTAAATGAAAAATTAGTAAAATGTAATAAAGTTTTATGATTTAAGTAACTTTAGATTTTATTTTAATTTTATATGATATGAATAAATATAAAATTTAGAATTGGAGGTGAACATATTGAGCGGAGAGTTTAAAATATTAATATAATAAATTAAATCTTTTTTTTATTTAAAAAACTCTAATTCAATAATATTATGTGCCCGTTTGATATAATTAAAATTTTTAATAAAAGTTTTACTTGTCACTTCGCTGAATAGTAACATTTTGATAAGGTGGACGACAGGACATCCGAGGAGCAGCCCATCAAGCATAACGGTGGGACTGCTCATGGCATTCACTTCACTAACCAACAAAAATGTCGCCATGCCGTATCAATAAAAAGTCTTGCCTATGTTTCCAGCCTAAAAATTGGTCTTAATTCTAGAGTCATTTCTGGTGATGCCCACAGTTTCACATTGGACAATTATGCGATTTTAAGTTACTAAAAGTTGTAAGTTGAATTTTTGAAGGTTCGTATGAACCTTGGTCAAAAGTTGTATAAAACTATTCTCAACGTCACTTTTTATTCATCAAAATCACTCATTTTAATTTTGGGTAAAGGACCAGTTGCATTCTTTCCTTCTTGTGTACTATTCAAACTATCACGAGTTTCAAGACATGCTAACGCCCAGAGAAAGATGGGCAGCCAGACCTGGAAATTTTGAGTTGCAAATATGACTTCATATATAACTTATAACATGATGGGGTCGCCTTCGAATATATCAGTATTTTGAGAATATGGCTAAGAATCAGGAACTAGGAATTTGTTTAAGATAGGGCTTTATACAGGTATGGTTATTAATAAAAAATAAATAAATTGATATTAATTAAAATTACTATAACACTAATGTATTGATTAAATAAAATACTAGTCATATAGCTTCGAAGTATAAAGACGACCATCATTTTGATCGACATAAGAGATGTCATTAAGCGAGTTTAAATTTATCATGAATAACTTGCAATTTAACATAAAATATTATTTTAAAATAAGTGAAAATAAATCATAAATGAGTAAAAAAATTGAAACAAAGAAAAAGAATTCAAATATAAACATTAATTAACCTTCAAATGGAGTGGAAACTAAAGAACTTCTCTCCTTGTACACATATTTTGAAACTTTTTTTATAATTGTCTCATTGTCAATGGTCTCTATGACATCTTTTTCAATATAACAAACCAAATAACCATTCATCCATTCATCACTCATCCATTCATCACTCATCCTATTATGCAATCGAGTCTTTATAATCTTCATTGCTGAAAATACTTTTTCTACATTAGCAGTTGCAACCGGTAAAAGCATAGCTAATTTCAAAAGCAAGAAAACTAACAAATAGACACCATTCTTTTTTTACTCCACTAACTTTTTGAGAAGTTCACCAATGTTGTTCACATGAGAGAATGCACAAGTAGACCTCATATCCATAATGTAAAGATCCAATTGAGTATCAAGTAAATCACGTTCTATAGGAGAAAAATCATTTGGATAAAATTCTGCAAGCCACAATAATTTTTGCTTGTCAAAATAGGCAAATCCATTAGAAGGATCAAGGCATGCAACACATAAAAGTAACTCAATATTTGCTTCATTAAAACGGTCATTTAATTCATTTAGCATCCAATAAAAAATGGTATTGTAGAGTTCATACCGAAAATGATGCAAGTTTGTCATCTTTTCCATTCTTCATCGACTTCTTCTTGGATCTTTATAATCATCACCCATATTCGACACAACTACATCAAATTTTTCACAAAAGGAAACCACTCCTTGCAAAAAGGACTCCCATTCACCATCATCATTTCTCATATTTTTCAATAATTCCTTTGTTAACTTCACTAACTTCATAGCATTAATAATATCTTGATCTTTTTTTTGTAGTGCTTGAGACAAATCATTTGTATTAGCAAGCACACTTTTCATCAAATGTAAAAGGAATATGAAATCAAATGTTTGAAGTTGCTTAGAAAGTGTACATGCTCTTTCTCTTTGAGTTGGATCAAACCCATCATCTATAAGATAGTCAAGAACATCAATGAAAAATTCAAACATGAGGGTCAAGTTTAATAGTGAAGCATAATGAGAACCCCAACATGTGTCTCTTGCTCGTTTAAGCCCAAGTTCTTGATTAAGCTCACGACCATTTTCCAATTGCCCATAACAAAGTAGCTTGGGAACCTTATCATGTTCTTTTTCTCTAAGAGTATCATGACGCCTAGAAGAAGCCCCAACAACATTTAATACATTTGCAATTGTCAAATAAAGTTCACAAATCTCATGATGACCCTGTGCAACAACTACAAGTATCAATTGAAGTTGATGAGAGAAGCAATGAACATAGTAAGCCTGATTGTTTTCTCTCAAAATAAGTGCTTTCAATCCATTAAATTCACCTTTCATATTACTTGCCTCATCATAACCTTGTCCACGCAACCTTGCAATACTAAGTCCATATCTTGAAAACAAAGAATCCATAGCAGCCTTAAGTGATTTAGCTGTGGTGTCAAAAACATGTACAAGACTAAGATAACGCTCAATTATCTCTCCTTGTTCATTCACATACCGCAAGACAACAGCCATCTGTTCTTTCATGGATACATCACAAGACTCATCAATTAAAACTGTAAACAAGCCATCTCTAATATCTTTAATGATTTCTTCTGTTGTTTCACTAGCAATTGCACTAACAATCTCTTTTTGAATCTTCGACTATGTCATTTTATTGTTTTCAGGAGCATTATCCAACACCACTTTAGTAATGTTGTCATTATGTTTTGCAAGAAAGTGTAGCAGTTCAAGAAAATTCCCTTTATTGAAAGAGTTATCAGATTCATCATGACCACGAAAAGCTAATTCTTGGCACAAAAGCCATCTAACACAATCAATTGATGCACCCAATTGTATGTGATACTTTTTTCAACTTGCTTCATCATAATTGGAAAACACAATTTCAATGCTTTGATTTTGAAAACACAGTTTCAATGCTTTGATTTTGATTCATCAAAGCATCACACATCATTTTAGCTTTATTATGAGGACTTAAGATGGTACCAACATGCCTTGCTAATGCTTTTTTGTCTTTCCAATTTCTAAAACCACGAGAAATCCAAGTAGGTTTAGCACCATTATGTGGGAAGAGACATAATAATTCAAACAAAAGATGGCATCCTTAGATTCATTGTACTCTAACCAACTAATGTTACCATCAAACCAAGAAGGACAAAAGTGATGAGATTTATTTCCACATTGACTAAATGGAAAATTATGCCCACGTGGTTGGCAAGGTCCTTTTTGCAAATATACTCTTCTCACAGTATCTTGAATATTAATATCATAAGAGGAAATTGGAGGTCTCTCCCCAGGGTCTGAAATCAAATTCTCCAAATTAAACTCTCCATGTGACTTTTTTCTACTTGAACCTCCATCAATATTTGCATCATGAACACATTTTTTTCTACTTGGACCTTTTTTGAGAAGTATTTTTCCATGCCTGTTTTTACCAAAAAAAAGATTTAATTCTATTATTTAAAATACAATTGACTAACGTATGTTAAAACAATTTTAATAGTTAAAATAATAAAAAAAAAGAATATTACTATTAGTGGGAACTTTAAAAATCAAAATGTGATTTTAACAATGAAATTTAATAACTAACCTATTAAGATGGACAAACTCACAAGGGTAATACCATCAAACTAACATATAAAAAAAATTCATTTCTTCATCCTCCAATAGCTAGTAAATAATTAACGATAGATAAACTCATAGAGGCAATATCATTTTTTCTAATAATTTATTTATAATTAATTTATTTGCTAATTATATTTTACCAAAAAATTATCCTTCCACTTATTATTAATTAAATTTATTAACTCAAACAAAATAATAAGGCACAATATCTATCCAAAATTTAAAATTAAAATACCCATAATCTAACAACAAATTAAAATACAAAGTAACTACAATAAACAAAAAGAAAAAAAAAAAGTAAAGAGACAAAAAGTTAGAAGGAACAATTACTTGGGGCTAGCCAGCTAGGACAGTGGGACCAATATAAAGGTTGATCCAATCAAATATTGAAGAGGGAGAAGCACCGAAAAATGAGAGAGGATCACTTCCTGTACTTCTAAAATGCAAATTTGGTGGAGAATCTGGAGACGTTTTTTCAGCTGACAAAGCCTAATATTTGTTTATTTAGCTTGTGTGAGGGCCACACTGCAAGAGGGTCCTTTTAAGCAGATGGCTCAAATGATGCTGAAAGCTTCCAATATAGGCCAATCTTAACTTTTGAATTTGGCCCAATCCAAAACAAGCCCATTAGTTAATTTATGTTTTCAAATTTTACTTTACATAAAAATCTTTCATTTCGGGTAGGGCTAATAATATTGTACTCAATAACACAATAAATTTTTTGGACCTAAGGTAGGGCCCGTGCCTAACCCTGGGCCTAGGTAGTTCCGCACTGCCAAGAATAATAAGGATGAGAGTATCAAACATTATGAGCATTAAGTTAAAAGTAGAAAGCAGTTGGGTACATATTTCAAACAATCTAAGGTGATCGGAGGTCATTGTGAATTTATTTATGACCAACATGGTAAACCTGAAAGTACAAAAAAAAAAAAAATTTCTGGACAACAAGCTGGAGTGTTTTATATAAGAGTTATACATACCCAACAATGGCTGCAAACCAAAATACATTTGCATTGCATGCATCCATAAAGAATCATCTTGGATGAGGCTTACCATTAAGGACAACCAGAAAAGCAATAAACGAGTCCCAAATAGTATCTGGCGGCTGTAGCATTGAATCGGACTCTCTAGAGAGATTGGCTCTGCCACTTGTTTATTAGTCTGAAGGAACAAAATAAGTTAGAACAGCTGAAAAAGAAATTAGAAAGAAAAAAAGGATTCATACAAGGCATCCAACAAAAAGAGAAGTCCTAAATAAAAACACATTTGTTTATTCAGGGCACCGTAACAAAGCTGTTAATGCAGTTAATGGGTTGGCAGCTTAAGCAAGCGACAAACATGCACGTCATGTTCCAAATCCCCAAAAAGGTGAATTACCCATTATGAAAATCCTCAACAAGGAAGAAATAAGGAAAATATACCAGAACTAAAATACAAGAAATGCAGATGAGTTCTTAAGCCTCCTATGCACTAGCAATATCAGAGACCTTTTGCTTACAAGTTTAATTGCAATTCCTTCTGTCATGCATTAGTTCATGTCTTATACCTAGCCGTTTACCTTAATGCTAATGTTCATGTCCACTAACTAATTGACAACCTAAAAAGCTCTACATCAAATTGGACCAATCCATGCATTTAGTAATGTAGAATATGCATCCCAGACTCCTCTGCTGTCATTGCATCAAGTAAAGATTCTAACTAATAGCAGTTGAAGAAATTCTTTACTTTATTGAAAAATGAAAATGGAAGAATGTTATTATGAATTAAAAAGAAAATAAAAAACACATCATCAAATACATGACCCTTTTTTATTATTTTATGAATTAGAAAAAATCCAAAACACTCGCTAAATTGATAAATCTTCTAAATCCAGAACCTAAGCAACAATGACCAGAAGGGCACAATGAAGATAATACTAAACTCTGGTAGCAGTACTATTTGGCAAAGCTGTTGCATCTTCAACTGGAAAATGTAGTATGCTTCTCATATTGCATGCAACACTGAAATGCAATCACTGGGCACATATCAATGGAACTTGCATCACAGATAAGCCCGTTACAAGTAGTCAGCAGACTGATATTGGAGCAAAATTTCAACACAAGAAAAAATATGAGGAAGAAAAATCAAATAAGAAAAAACATTAATTGTTAAACAAAAAAAGGTAGAAGCAAGAACCAACTCAAGTATCAAAATCTGGGCAGACGATAAAACAGATTAGGCACAAAAGGTTTTCAAAAGAGAATACCTTAAATTTTTCTTTCACCTTCCTAATCAACAGCTGTTATTGCTGCTGCCACTTCTCCAAAATGACAACCTAGGCAGTAAATCCATGACCCTTGCAGGAAGTATACTGCTAGTAGTCACTACATCCTTTGCATCTGCCTGAATATCAAAATCCCTCCAGAACTTGATGACATGTAAACTTTCTTCTTCTGTTGACCTTTGGACAACAATTCTAGAAGCAAAACCTCTCTCTCTCATCTGAAGGCATATCTGTGAAGGATTATTTGCTGTAAGAGTGACCATATACAACCAACCCCGTTTTGACAAAAGCTTGTTGGCAATTGGCAGAATCTTATCAATAACTCTCCTGCCATTCTCACCTCCAGCCCAAGCAGAGGCAATTCCTTCACGACCCACTTCATCTTCAGGTGTTGGCACATAAGGTGGGTTGACAACTATGACATCTAAAGACCCTGCCAAGCGATTCTCCAATCCTGAAGCAATGTCAGTGTTTATCAACTCTGCATGAACCCCATGTGCTTCCAGCGTCTCACGCGTCACTCTGACTGCATAAGGGTTGGTATCAGTGGCAATGTACTGAATTTCAGGAGTCTCCTGTCCGAGCATAAGTGCCAGAGAAGTGATAACATAACCACTACCACACCCCACTTCCATACACAAAGTGGGCCGATGCTCTAACAGGTTGGTTCTATCAGCAAGAAGTGCATCAACCAATGCAAAAGAATCATCACAGGGTTCATAAACCTCAGGATGCGAGCTCACAAGGCGGATTTGGGCACTTCTTGAAGGCATTGCCTAGAGGGTTGTGTTATAAGAAAAAAGTTTCCGGTAGGTGACGGATTTCCTAAGTTTGATTGTTGGATTCTCAAAAGCCTTCGAAATCAAAATTAATCTAGAATAATTGTCACAAAATAATTTCTTATTACAAAGTGCTATGCAGTAAATCCTAAATTCGTACAGAAAGAGATGGAGGAAAGGTACCTTACCGACGGTGGACGAATCGGCGACAGCGAGATCCAGCAGCTTGGAGGCTTAAACAGAGATGGGGAATGAGAG